AGTACTAAGTCATGTTTTGCAGAGGGGTCAAATACTTATTTCCCTCATTAAAATGCAAATCAATTTATAACATTTTTGACATGCGTTTTTCTGGATTTTTTTGTTGTTATTCTGTCTCTCACTGTTCAAATAAACCTACCATTAAAATTATAGACTGATCATGTCTTTGTCAGTGGGCAAACGTACAAAATCAGCAGGGGATCAAATACTTTTTTCCCTCACTGTATATATATATAACACCAAACGAGGGCTGTGGGACCCTTGGGACGGCTAAATACTCCCGAACCGGGGTCACGGGTCAGGGGGTGCAGATTAAGACAAGGGGATTACTGTATTTAACGTTATCCAACCTCATAACGTTCACAGGCTGCTGGTCAAATCACCCATTCCCAGCTACTTATAATGGGATAATGGTCTGGTTATCATTTTAAAAGTAGAGATAGCTGGCGCTCCTGAAAAGTGGAGCACTGAACCATTTAGTCACAGTTTTAACCTGCAAAACAGGATAAATGTATTAATTATCTATTGTCCAGCTATATGTGACTATTAAAACCGATTTCCACTGCTGAAATGTAAGATGTACTGAAATGTATTTGTAACACCGTATATGACAGGGTAGTTTGGGTGATGTAAATGTTTCCAGTGAAGGTTTGCAGCGGGCTGACTTGAGCTGTGTGCTGTACGTGTGGCCAAGGTTCAGGTCAAATGATTTATGTCAAGCACAGCAATTTATTACCAAGCAGCTATTGATTGGGTCCTCCTGACACTGTCATGTAAATTCAGAAAGAATCATATCCGGCAGCTGCAGCTTTCACACACACACGCACAAACACGCACAAACACATATGGCCACACACAAAACACACAAACACACACTGGCACACAAACACACACAGGCTTACACACGCACATTAAAACCAAAATGACCACACAGCTTTGCATCTGCTCCAGTCAGTTTGGTATCAAACAAATGTCATTTTATCAACCTTAAGACCGTACAGTATAACTGATCAGAAGCACATATCATAAACATTACAGCTTCTTGCAATAAGCTCTAAATGTGTTAAAAAAAAAAAGAATGTATCTGTCTCTGAAATAAAAGTAGTAGATTTAGGGATGTTTTAAAATAGACTGTTTTTGAAATAAAAGCTTTGATATAGGTACATTAGCAGCCAGTTTAGTACAAAGCTGAATTGGATCAGCTGAATCTCTGGATCCCTTTTAAGGGCAGTATTGTATAAACTGGAGCATGGCGGGTTTAGGCATTGCGCATGGTGATCTTAGGCTGCTCGGCCATGGAAACCCATTTCATGAAGCTCCCGACAAACAGTTATTGTGCTGATGTTGCTTCCAGAGGCAGTTTGGAACTCGGTAGTGAGTGTTGCAACCGAGGACAGACTATTTATTTTGTATTTTTGTATTTTTTTGGCACTCAGCGGTCCCGTTCTGTGAGCTTGTGTGGCCTACCTCTTCGCTGCTGAGCCGTTGTTGCTCCTATGAAGGTACCACATTGAAAGTCACTGAGCTCTTCAGTGAGGCCATTCTACTGCCAATCGCTTCCTCTTTCTCTTCTCCCTATCTCTCTCTTCCTTTCCCTCCATCCCTCTCACTCTCTTTCCCTCTCCCTCCCTCGCTTCATCTCTCTCCCTCCATCCCCCTCTCTCTCCATCCCTCTCTCTCTCTCTCTGTCTGTCTGTTCAGTAGTCTGATTGAGGGTGAAATACGAGGGGGCTGCAGCTGGAGGGGGCCACCATGTCTGGTAATTACTTCTCTTTTTATGACCCGTGCTAATGGCCCTCGGGGAGAGGGAAACAATAATAAATTAATAGAATATGAACTCCCGCTCAACAGAAATCTCCAGCATTTCATTTTGGGCCGTCCTTTACTCTGGCAGATGAAATGGCACCCTGATTAATCTGACGAGGGGTGGACCCAGAGGCAGCCGGCGCTGGTGTGGCCTGCCTGGTCTGACACCCTCTCACCCCCTCCCTCGGTGAAGGGGTCTGTCGGAGATAAGGAGGATGGGGATTTTGGCTCTTTCCAATTTGGCTCTTTACAGTTGTATTCACAATGACAAGCTAAGAATCAGAAGATAAACAAAAAGATATTTCTACATGTGTACATCTATAGGATCCTCAGCTTAGAGGACAGAGGTAAGAGACTGTAACAGGGCTGTTTGGACAGGATATTGTTGTATGTAAATCCAGTATAGATAAGTCAGGTCAACAGGTGAGGGAGCAGAGCAGGACAAGCTGAGGGAAATCATCTGTCAAAGAAAACAATTATTCCTGTGTTATGACTTTCATATGTGATTTATACAAAATATGGCAGTGAAATCCTATTCCAGATTTGCCTTTATCAACCAGAGAGACCAGCCAAGCTTGTCAATGTTTTCAATCCCGTTTCAAGTGGCTATGTTTATTGTAAACACAAGCAACAACTGGTGAGATTTTATGCTGTACCAAGCCAAGGACAGGGATCATTGTGAGAACCCAGCTGAGGCATGTAGTGAATTAGTCTACTGTTGAAACCAGTCATGGTCTTCAGTGTCTGGTTAAGAGGTGAGGAGAGAGCATGTTCCCTGTCCATGTCCACAGCCACCACATGTCTGTCTGTCACCCTCTGAAATGGCAGGGACCGAGAGAACTGTCCCCCCCTGCATGACTCTGATTGTGTGGTAGCATGGAGCACAGTAGTATGGTATGTCAACATGACATTTCTCCTGAGGACTACTTGTCCACGTGTAATGAGGAGGTACATTGTGGTTAAACTGTGATACAGTAGATATGATTCACTGTAACCTACTGTTTGTTGAAGTTCCATTGTGTTTACTGGATAAAAAATATATACTATCTTGTAATGTTATTTTTAAATTGATAATGTAGATGCCTTTAAAACACGATCCCCCCCTAACATCACAATTCCCTATATGAAAGCATGCTTATCCAAAATTAACAAAAGAGATCTCAGAAATGTTTTTATTGCCCTTTGCTAGTTTAGCCTACTCACCCAGGGCAGCCTTGTGGAAAAGGGCCTTCAACCACACAGACAGGCATCTCAGATTTGGTCAATATTGTGCCATGTTTGGTCAAACCCCACCAAGGCAGTGGTGTGGAAATTAAGATGTAAATATTGATATTTCATTAGAGGAAATCACCCACTCCGACGGCACTTAACCGGGCTACCTTCACAGCGTGGCGGCCAGAGCGCTGTGTGACCTATGGAGTCTGGAAGTCACTTCATTACTCGATTAAATTGAGTGGAAAACGGCAAGGCAAAGACACAAGATCCCATTTGGAGCAATAATTTAGGCTCTGAAGATAGAGACAGAGCAGGGGGAAAACACCACCTCTCCATCTCACAACACCGGATTAAATTCAAGGACTTTTAGCGTCAAACGTAATTGCAGGCTGCTGTGTTCAGTTTGTGCATATTGCTGAGAGGTATAACAGAGGAATTCTGCATTCTCTTGTACAAATCTAGAACAAGTGCTTTCTATGTGCTGTCACATTGAGGGCAAGGTGTTTCGGTTGAGTGCTCCTTGGCATTAAAAGGGTGCACAAAGCCTAGGCTGTGATTGCAATGCCAACCTGACGCAGAAATCAGGCTGAACCTTGTCTACACTTGCATGACAATTTCCTTGCGGCCAGTCCAGTTCTCTCACTAATGGCAAGGTGCAGCTTTTCCAGTGCAGACAGGGACATTTCACAGCAAAGGATTTCAAATTCAAAAGGCACTCGCACATCTGAGCTATCGTTGTTGCAGGTGCATGGTAACAACTGAATAAGATCAGAAAAAGAAGAAACCCGCACACTGCTCTTGATAGTATCACTGCTCTTGATAGTATCACTGCTCTTGCTAGTATCACTGCTCTTGATAGTATCACTGCTCTTGATAGTATCACTGCTCTTGATAGTATCACTGCTCTTGCTAGTATCACTGCTCTTGCTAGTATCACTGCTCTTGATAGTATCACTGCTCTTGATGGTATCATTGCTCTTGATAGTATCACTGCTCTTGATAGTATCACTGCTCTTGATAGTATCACTGCTCTTGATAGTATCACTGCTCTTGCTAGTATCACTGCTCTTGATAGTATCACTGCTCTTGATGGTATCATTGCTCTTGCTAGTATCACTGCTCTTGATAGTATCACTGCTCTTGATAGTATCACTGCTCTTGCTAGTATCACTGCTCTTGATAGTATCACTGCTCTTGATGGTATCATTGCTCTTGCTAGTATCACTGCTCTTGCTAGTATCACTGCTCTTGATAGTATCACTGCTCTTGATAGTATCACTGCTCTTGATAGTATCACAGCTCTTGCTAGTATCACTGCTCTTGCTAGTATCACGGCTCTTGCTAGTATCACTGCTCTTGCTAGTATCACTGCTCTTTATTAAGCTTTACGTATCGGCCTCAAGGCCTTCGTCAGAGCTTTAAAAAGGATTTCAAATGCATTTTGATGTGTAGGAGCACAGGCACCTGCACCAAGGCACTTATGGCTTCCTCCTAGAATTATATTAGTATGTGCTCCTAGCAGTTTTAGTGTCTGTATTGTGCTGGTCCTGTCTGTGGTTCACAGACCCCCTGGCCACCCGGGTGGGGTGGGCCTGCCCTGCCTGTCCTGGGCCCTGCACCTGTCTCCGTTTGATCAGACCCTCCATTCGACTGACTATTGATTCCCCTTCACATTGTGAAGGCACTCACATTCCGATCGCAATCTGTTAATGAATGTATCCTCCAGCTCTTCCCGTCCTGTGGTCATCACTACGATAAGGGAAATTAAACTCTCCGCTACCCACTTTTCTCTCTCTTTCCCTCTTTCCCTTTTTCTTTCTCTCTCTCTCTCTCTCTCTCTCACTGTGTGTGTGTGTGTGTGTCAATACTGTAATCTATCGCCTCTTAATAACCTGGGAGCAGATAGTATTGCAACAGCAAACTTGTAAAAGCAATCATTTTAATCAGGCGACGTCGGAGAGGGCTAATATGCTGTCAGAATGGGGGCGCCCGTGGACACACTAGACCACGACAGGAGGTAAGGCTGGAGGAGGAGGGGGATGCTCCAAGTATTGACAGCTGAAGGGTAGTAAGAGGAAAAGATAATAAGATGGCTATCTGTTCCTTCTAACCAGATACCCTTTTCATCTGTCTGAATTCTCTCACCTCATCTTCAGAGGATCTGTGGGGATGGTTGTTTTTCAAAAGGTTTAATTCTATCCATATGTACAGGTAGCAGTAGCAGCCTGTGTGTTTGAAGGGGGAAATCACAGTAGTTTTATATGACCCAGACAATTTCAGCTCATCCAGTTGCTGTTTGTCAGGAACGGGATTTAAGCAGGCCTTTAGGGCAGGGTTGACCCACGTGACCCCTCGCTGTGTGTGCGCACGCTCGTGTGTGTCTGTTTGTGTGAGTGTGTATGCACGCGTGCGTGCGTGCCAGCATGCATGAGTGTGTTGTGTGTGTGTTTTTATCACCTCACCCAGTGTGTCACGTCCTCGACCCCTCCAATGAGGATCTGTCTCAGTGCTAATCCCACTCACACCAATAGCAGTGTGACAGGAAACAAGGGCTGACCAGACGGCTTTGTGTCTCCCAGACCTTTGCACCGATTTACTGTCTTCACTTACAGTAAAGCCCACTGGAGTGCTGTGACACCCGTTTCAGAGAGGACCTTCCAGAGTGCATTTAAAATTAAACACCTCTGCTGCTAACATGTGCCGTGGCATGTACTCTAGTCAGTCGGGGTGAAACTTTGAACTCATGTTTGGGTTACTGATCAGATCTGTCCATGAGAAAAGACCTTGAAGGTGGACAGTACATGTTTGGCTTTATAGTGTTTTGATTAAAACAATCAGGGTGGTATTTTAAAACTGCTAATATTAATTTAATAGTTCACCCTTTACTTGAGATAATTGCATTGATCATCGACGAAGTGAGAATATAAAGAGCCTATTAGACTATTTTCACTGTTTTCTATTTCATCTTGAGGGCAGAGCATGAGCTGGAAACACCCATACTCACACACACACACACAAACAAATATATTTTAAGTGTCAGTGCATTGTAGTGCAGATAACTGCCAGTGAGATAGATTCTCAGAGTGTTTTCCTCTGTCTCCTCAGGCTTCTCAGCGCTGTCGCTGGGAGACCAGATGAGTCTACTGCAGAGTGCCTGGATGGAGATCCTGATCCTGAGCATCGTGTTCCGCTCACTGCCCTATGAGGACGAGCTGGTGTATGCAGAGGACTACATCATGGACGAGGAACACTCGCGGCTCACGGGCCTGCTCGACCTCTACGTGTCCATCCTGCAGCTCGTACGCAAGTACAAGAAGCTCAAGGTGGAGAAGGAGGAGTTTGTCACCCTCAAGGCCATCGCTCTCGCTAACTCAGGTAGGACAACATACTCCACCTCCGTATATAGTGTAAATAAGACGGCAGCCAGGGATGATAGGTGAATATTTGGATATTCCATTCTTTACAAGGTTGTGTAATTTATGCAAAATGATGTGAACAACCAATCTAAAAAACAATAAAATGTATAATTTAAGGTAATATTGTATTTTTGCTGATAATGTATGTTTTGCAGATCAGAGTCTAATTGTTCAGTATTTTATGGACAATATGATATTGTAAAATGGGCAATCACAAGCAATATACACATGTGGGCAATAATAATACTTTTGGGACTTTTTAACTTTATGTCGTAATTTTATGAATAAATTTACATTTACATTTTAGTCATTTAGCAGACGCTCTTATCCAGAGCGACTTACAGTTAGTGGATACATTATTTTATATTTTTCATACTGGCCCCCCATGGGAATCGAACCCACAATAAATCTAGTATTTATACATTTTAGGACACATTTCATTAATCTCAAAAACTGTCATATATCAGATCTAGAGCAAGAGTTAATTTCAAATGAACAAATTATTACTATAGTGCCTGTGACACAGAAATATAAATTAGTTTGGAATATTTTTTAAACACCCATTAATTTGCCAGTTTGGTGTTCCTTATGGGGTTCTTTCAAATGTAAAACCAAAAATGTTTGTATTTATATTGCACAAATGCAGAAAACTGTTTCTAATTTTATATTGGAATATTATCTTATTCATAATAACAATTGTTCATAATTTATGTTTGTTAATCATCTCCATTACATTAATATACATTAATTTAATATGTTAAATCTATATTTCTATATCTATCTCATGGCCAAAATGTCATGTCAGGGTTTAAAGTTGTACAGTTGTTGACTTTACCCTTTAGTTTTGAGTTGGAGATGGAGTGGAGAGATAGAGGAGGAGGGGAGCACTGAACTTTTAATTGAAAGCCTTCCATGTGGTATTTCTCCATCCATCCCTCTATCTCCATAACAGTAGCTGCAGGGCACGCCAACCATGGGAGATAAATTTAGCATTTCATTAGGAGCACAGGGCCTGTCAATACAATGTGTTAAGTCGAATGGAATGAGTATCAGGGAGTGATGGGGCTTGTTTGTTCCAATGCGAAGACGGCACACTCGTATCGACAGGCTGCTTTTGAGTAGGCAGGGCCTGTCCCTCTCTGATCAATGCCTGGCTGGGCCACGGGCGATTTTTTTTTTTTTTGTCTGGCTGAAAAATGAAAACGCTGATGGTGGGCTTTGCTTTGCTTTCAGACGACAGAGCTTTGTTGGGGGGTGGGTGAGGGAGGGAGGCCTGGTGTCGGTGTGGGTAGGAGGCGTCCGGAACGTTTGAACAAGGTCTCTGTGAGATCACTCTCCCGGGAGCCCCTCTGTCTGACAGCTGTGAAAATTCATAGCGATTGATTTTGTAATTAGCAGTTTATCAATGGGATCGACGTGGGCTCTCTGATGGATTGCAAGGAAATTGTTTCTTCAAAGTAGTTTTTTTAAGCCCATCCCCTCCTCCAAAGTCTACATGCTGCGTTCTCTCTCTCTCCCTCTCCTTCTCTCTCTCTCGATATCTTGATCTCTCTCTGTCTATTGCTCTCTTTTCTTTCTCATCTGGTCTCTCTCTAGCTCTTTCTTTCATTTCTTCTTGCCTGCACTTCACCCTGAGACCTTTGTCCACTGTGCTCACTCATTCTTGGCATTAGATGAGTTGAATGGCTAAAATGTCACGCATGTGCTGAAGCACACATGCACACTCACACATACACTCACTAACGTCTTTGATACATTTATTAGTTCTATAATTTTATCACAGTAATTAAAATGCATCTAATTGCTAATAATTTGTCCGTGCATTGACTTGTCTATATTACCTAATATGCTGTTTATCATTGACTAATCCTGTATGAAGCAAACAGGAGATACAATACTGTTAGCTCTCTGACTTCTTCCTGGTGAATTTCCCTTTTGTTCTTCCATTCTGCTCATCCCTCCAATCCCCCCCCCCCCCCCCCCCCCCCCCCCCCACCCCACCCCACCCCGCTCATCTGCGCATTCACTTTCCAAAACGACCTACTTCGTTTTACCGCTGTGGATTGGAAAGCGTCAGGGTGAGAAATGTCTCAAGGTCTTGGGAATATAGTTGTTCCAGTCAATGAATTTGTGACGAAGTCTGAAATCTGTTTTGCCTTTTATTGTCCCGCGTGGTGAAATATGCACCGCCAAGGTGATACAAGTCAGGCAACCAATGACACGCCATCTCACAAGTGCCAGACACTGGTTAACCACTGAGAGAACCACAACCCCAGTGTATCCTTGAGAGAGAGAGAGAGAGAGAGAGAGAGAGAGAGAGAGAGAGAGAGAGAGAGAGAGAGAGAGAGAGAGATAGAGAGAGAGAGAGAAGCGATAGAATAGCTCTCTAAGAGAGCTCGAGAGCTTCTCTCCTTCTTCGCTCTCTCTCTATCTCTCTCTCTCTCTCTCTCTCTCTCCACCTCTACTCCTCTCTCTCTCTTCCTCTGCCCTCCCCGTTGCTTGTTCCCCATTCTGCACGTACCGTAAGAGTATCCGTGAACAATACAATACACCCCAGCACATCAGAGAGGGAGCGACTGCAATGAGTCAGAGAGAGAACCCCCCTCTTCAGGGAGGATATGGGCTACAGAGTCAGTATGATACTGTACACATGGTTGTTGTTGATGTAGTTTCACTGTTACAGTAGGCCTACATACATGTAGTTACAGTGGTTAAGTTGGTGTTTATAGAATTAGTTTTGTATGATCAATCATCAGTCAAAATATGGATTCCAGCTAGCTAAAACACTAACAGTCAAGTTATTATTCAATCAAATATACAATAGTGTTTACTTTCATTCCACTTAATTATTTGTTCCACATGTGTCTGTGAGAGAGGAGGGAGGAAATGAATGAAAATGTGAAGGAAGTATTTTTTCTTTATTGAAGCTAGTTTACACCGTCCAATTCCCTGATGGAGTGTTTATAAGAAAACAATCTATTCCAGAGCTGTCTTTTGGAACAGTGAGGTGTTTAATATGTATTCATTCACTGGGGATTGGCTGCTATTCATTCCATTGTGTGCTCCAGGATACTGCAGCATTATATTGATTTTCAGTCTCATTGGTCAAAGGCCATTTGAAAATCAAACCAAGACCACCAGGCATAAAAATTACATGAAGCTTTGGGTTTTTCTTTACGTTCTATTGTTTATCTTGTCGCAGTGTGAATTATGCTGATAACGTATCTAATAGCTGACTGCACTGATAGATCAGTAGTACCGACCCAGCCATGTTTTACTTTAGCAAAAATACATTGGAGATAACTGCCTTTTTAGAATTCCTGCTGTGTTCACCAGCCTGAAATATGCACTGTATTCTGCAAATTTTTGATGTGTAACTATTTACAGAACTATTTTACATTTCATTAAATAAAGCACTGGTTTGTATTTTCATTGTATCTCTGAAGATGTTAACATGACTCATGTTGAAGAGCCCTCTTTCACTGACCCTGTCTCTCCCTCTCCTCTCCAGACTCCATGCATATAGAGGACGTGGAGGCGGTGCAGAAGCTCCAGGATGCGCTCCACGAGGCCCTGCAGGACTATGAGAGCAGCCAGCATCAGGAGGACCCCCGGCGGGCAGGCAAGCTACTCATGACCCTGCCCCTGCTGCGTCAGACCGCCACCAAGGCCGTGCAGCACTTTTACAGCATCAAGGTGCAGGGAAAGGTGCCCATGCACAAACTCTTCCTGGAGATGCTGGAGGCCAAGGTCTGATGGAGGAGCAGGTGGCCCCTGTGAAGGCGATGGGGACAGGGACGTGACGGTGGTGTGGACGGGCGATGCAGACAGAAGGACATGTACAGAGGGACTCAGGACAGGAACACCCTGCTGACTGTGACGGGAGACAGACTGACCTCTCTCGCACTTTGCCCGCTTGGAGCCCAGACATAAAAAATAAATAATAATAAAGAACAAATGCAAAACTTGGTTATAAGTATAAATATAAAATGATGCAGATTAATTTAAAATATATAAGAAATACTATGTACAGTAATACTTTTGTTTTGTTTATGGTCTGTGGTCCTACTGTATGTGAAGGATCTCCCCCTCTCTCCATATCTTCAGAAGGAATAATTTCAGGCTCTTAATTAACATGGTTTTATTTCTAGTCAGAATCTACAGCTGAGGTCTCCATATGTGTTCTGATGACAACACATGTCAACCACTATGACTCACTTGTTAGACAGTTGATTCACCTACTGGACTTGACCAGGACATGTATATATTTATTAATAATGGTTGACTGAGTGTACAGTTATGTCTGGTGAACACGACGGCCATTTTCTCTCCTTCTTCTTCTTGGGAAAAAAAGAAAAGAAAGAAAGAACAAAAACTGTTACCTGTTAAATGTGAGCTCTATTGATTTAAATATATATACCTCTTCAGAGCAGTGATCTGTGTGATGTGGATCGGTCTCAGACAGGAAGAAGATAAACTGGTCACATGACATGTTTAACCAAACTAGCGTAGCCAGGTAGTCAGTTGTCTTATTCTGTAGTAACTCAGCAATAAAGGGAGCCGTGCCGTGGGCAAGCCATGTTAAACCTTCTCTATCATCTGCTTCACAACGCTACTGTCTGTCTGTCTGTCTGTCTCTGTCTGTCTGTCTCTGTCTGTCTGTCTGTCTGTCTGTCTGTCTGTCTGTCTGTCTGTCTGTCTGTCGCTAGAAGACCATGCCCTCTCATTTGTGTGTGAGTGTGTGTCTTGGCAATGGACGCACCACTCACCTGTTGCACTGTAGTGTTTCTCCTCTGTATATGTTGTTGTTGATGTTACTCTCAAACCCCACATTTGGTGAATGTTCAATCCGATGGAAATTGTCTCTTGGCAACTGAGCGAATGACCTGATTTGGGCAGGGTGAAAGATGATGAGTGGGTTTGGGGCGGGGGTATCAAAGGATTTCTGCCGAGTGGCAGAAGTCCAGGAGATTCCATGTTCAAACAATCAGAGGCCCATATGTCAAACGCTCTATTTTGGGTCCTTTAAGACCGTGGCAGAGTCCTCCCACACACAGGGAGCAAGGTGTCCAGCATCTGCTATCAGCATTTTAGAAGCTGCCTGTCTTTTTATAGCTGGGGCTGCCTTTATGGAGCTCCATCCAAACGGAGGTGAATGGCAGGTGCAGTGCAGTGATGTGTTGGTAGCTAGCGCTTCACGCTGACTGGGGGTATTTTTAACCCAGAAGGAGGTTATTGCCAAAGCTGTCTGCCTGCTCTCTACTGTGCTGCTCTGCCTCCATCCAGGAGTACAGTAGACACGTGGAGCGCTGCTTGACCCCATGTTGACACAGTAGCTGTGGTGTAACACTTCTCAACAGGCCAGGAGCCAGACAGGCATCACTCCCCAAGGTGCTCCTCTTGTGAGAAGCTATGCAGACTACAAAGTGTCAGCATGTTTCAAAGGGTAGCACTAGTCCCACAGTGTGTCTGTACAAGGTGTGATCTCTGTGGGAAAGTGAGGAGGGGGCCTCCATGCTCCCTGTGTGTAGGTAGGTCGACCTCCATGGTGCATGCTGGGACCTGTAGTTCAGTACTGTAGACTCATGCTGTTCTTGTTCTGCTTGGGAGAGAATGTGGTGGGAGGTGGATGATTAAACTACTGACGTGATTTGTGTGATGTGATAGATTTTGGTGCTGTCACAATATGGTACTGTGATCAAAGGAATCCCTGACATTGCAGACGGGACGGTTGCTACTCTGCTTATGATATCATTGGCCAGTGTTAATCCTGCAGCACCCTCTTTTACTGCAGCCTGATTGGCCACTTAATGGAGGATGACTACACACCCCAGCACCTAATCATCCCAACTTGAACTAGCCGCTGTCCACTTAACAGGCTCCACTTTAGAGGGTGACAATGTAACTTGAGTTATTTTACTGTTGTGCAATGCAACGGGGACCAATTCTGACTGAAACCATGCTGAAAGCACGCTTTTACTAAGATTTGGGACAATTGGATCAACATTTCAATATTATTAAAAAGTATTCTAATCAAAAATATCAGAACTATATTTTCTTTGCTCTGCTGTAAAATACAAGTGTTTGTATGGACAAGTACAGTTTGAACAGACTTTACAACAAGCTTTTTGTAGTGATCCAAAATTCACACCTAACACAATACGGAGTAAACTCCAGGCACCTCCCCTCAATGCTTTACACCCAACACGATGCAGCGTAAACTCCAGGCACCTCTCCTCAAAAGTATGTGGACACCCCTTCAAATGAGTGGATTCGGCTATTTCAGCCACACCCATTGCTGACAGGTGTATAAAATCGAGCACACAGCCATGCAATCTCCATAGTCAAACATTGGCAGTAGCCTTACTGAAGAGCTCAGTGACTTTCAACGTGGCACCATCATAGGATGCCCGCTTTCCAACAAGTCAGTTCGTCACATTTCTGCCCTGCTAGAGCTGCCCTGGTCAACTGTAAGTGCTGTTATTGGGAAGTGGAAACATCTAGGAGCAACAACAGCTCAGCCGCAAAATGGTTGGCCATACAAACTCACAGAACAGGACTGCTGAGTGCTGAAGCGCGTAGAGCGTAGAAATCGTCTGTCCTCGTTTGCAACACTCACTACCGAATTCCAAACTGCCTCTGGAAGCAACGTTAACACAAGAACTGTTCATCGGAAGCTTTATGAAATGGCCGAGCAGCTGCACACAAGCCTAAGATCACCATGCACAATGCCAAGCGTCGGCTGGAGTGGTGTAAAGCTCGCCGCCATTGGACTCTGGACCAGTGGAAATGCGTTCTCTGGAGTGATGAATCACGCTTCACCATCTGGCAGTCCGATGGACGATTCTGGGTTTGGCGGATGCCAGGAGAACGCTACCTGCACCAATGCATAAATAATAATGGTCTGGGGCTGTTTTTCATGGTTCGGGTTCCTTAGTTCCAATGAAGGGAAAGCTTAACGCTACAGCATACAAAGACATTCTAGACAAGTCTGTGCTTCCAACTTTGTGGCAACAGTTTGGAGGTGGCCCTTTCCTGTTTCAGCATGCTAATGCCCCCGTGCACAAAGCGAGGTCCATACAGAAATGATTTGTCGAGATCGGTATGGAAGAACTTGACTGGCTTGCACAGAGCCCTGACCTCAACGCTTGAAACACCTTTGGGATGAATTGGAATGCCGACTGTGAGCCAGGCCTAATCGCCCAACATCAGTGCCCGACCTCACTAATGCTCTTGTGGCCGAATGGAAGCAAGTCCCCGCAGCAATGTTCCAACATCTAGTGGAAAGCCTTCCCAAAAGAGTGGAGGCTGTTATAGCAGCAATGGCGGGACCAACTCCATATTAATGCCCATCATTTTGGAATGAGATGTTCGACGAGCAGGTGTCCACATAATTTTGGTCATGTAGTGTATTTGTAATTATAGTCACCAGATGTCTCTTACCATCCATTTATCTGTTTGTAAAGGTACAGCATGCTTAAAGTTGACTTCATGATTTGGCCATCAGTGGGCTAGACCAATTTTGGTTATGAAGCGGGTACATGTTTTTATTAACATCAATGTGTCAGAATTGGTCCCTTGATGATACAATTGCATTAAGGAACAGGTACTTTAAATTATTTGCTGTTCCTACAGTATAAATATTCATGGTGTGAATTATATCATTTGGCAACAGTTGAATCACCAATATCTGTGTAACCTTTATGTTTTGATTTCCTGAAAGGTAAAGGAACAAATAATTAAAAAACTCCCAGAAGTCTGTGATTCATTTATTATCCCACTACACCAGGGATCATCAACTAGGGATCATCAACTAGAGTGGCTTTTTGGGGGGCCGGAACATAATTACAAATAATTTGTAGACTGCAAAAATTGACCGCAAGAAGCCCAAACAGATATAATATTTGACTAAAACATAATCATTTCAAACCTTGCTTACATTTGTATATGATCACGTGTCTCTCTATTATGTGTGGGAATATTTGGGAACATATTTCTTAAATTAAAGTCACTTGGAGCCTATTTCCTGGTGTTTTTACAGTCTTTTTATAAAAATGTTTTCCTCAGAAAACTTGGGGGGCCAAATAAAACCACCCGCGGGCCGCCATTTGGGGAACCCTGCACTACACTACAATTTACATTTAAAAGATCCCAAACAAACCTGACCTCTTTCAATCATAGTGCATTTATAAAGTCAAATTTGATGAGGGCACATCTTTATTAACCTCTACGGGATCGGTGTCCCGTATACGGGACGGTTGAGCTAGCGTGCGCTAATGTGATTAGTATGACTGTTGTAAGTAACAGCAAACTTTCCAGGACATAGACATGTCTTATATGAGAAGAAAGCTTAAATTCTTGTTAATCTAACTGCACTGTCCAATTTCCAGTAGCTATTACAGTGAAAAATGACCATGCTATTGTTTGAGGAGAACTACAAAAAGCTTACATTCAGTAATCATGCTCTGATTTGTCATCCTAATGGTCCCAGAGATAAAATGTAGCATAGTTTTGTTTGCTAAAATCCATTTTTATATTCAAATGTAGGAACTGGCTCCACACCCACCCCACCCGGCCATCTAGATGTGTGAATGTTAGTGTATAAGCTAATGATCCATCGTGTATGACATTCCTGGGTGTGTGTAAACTAAAATTTTGTATTACCATATTATTTTTGTATGTTGTCTATATTTATGTACTTGAAAATGTATCAATTGACCAATTCGGCACAATTGGGCAGACTTGATACAAAATAG